ATCTTTGCTGTTATTGTTGGTGTGAGATGATATCACATTGTTGTTTTGATTTGCATCTCTCTAATGGCTAGTGATCATGAGCATTTCTTCATATGTTTGTTGGCTGCCCTGATATCTTCCTTAGTGAAGTGTCTGTTCATATTCTGTGCCCACTTTTTAATTGGGTTATTTGTCTTTTTCTTGTAGAGGTGTTGTAGTTCAATCCCAACTTCTTGATCGTGTCAATATTTGCTTCACTTATCATGATGTCATTCATTGGGCCAGTTGTGAGAGTCTTTTTTTTTCTTTCTTCTTTATGTTGAGATGTAATACCTATTCTGTATTCTTTTATCTTCATCAGTAAGTATTTCAACTCCTCTTTCAGTAAGCAAGGTTGTATTATCTGCATATCTCAAATTGTTTATGAGTCTTTATCCCATCCTGATGCCAACTTCTTGCATCATATGCTTAGAATACAGACTGATTAAGTATGGTGAAAGGATACAACCCTGACCCACACCTTTCTGGATTTTAAACTACTCAGTATGCTTTGTTCTGTTCTTGGTTATGTGTAGGTCCTAGAAAGAGCTCTGGTAGCTTATAGTGGTTATGTGTTGGGTTACTAACTGCAAGGTCAGCAGTTCAAATCTACCAGCGACTCCGTGGGAGAAAGATGAGGCTTTCTGCTCCTATAAAGATTTATAGTTTTGTAAACCCTATACAGGGTTGCTATGAGTCAGAACTGACTTCACAGTATACTACCACCATGTACAGGTGCCACATGAGCACAGTTAAGTATTACATGATTCCCAGTTTTTCTAATGCTAGCTATAATTTGTTATGATACATACAGTCTAATGCCTTTGCATAAACACAGGAAGGCATCTTTCTGCTATTCTCTGCTTTTACCCAAGATCCATCTGACATCAGCAATAATATTACTCATTCTACATATTCCTCTGAATCTGGTTTCTGGCGGTTCCCTGTCGATATACTGCTGCTACCATTTTCAAATTATCTTCTGCAAAATTTTGCTTCTGAGTGTGATATTAATGATATTGTCAGATAATTTCCACATTCTATTGAACTACCTTTCTTTGGAATAAACACAAACATGAATCTCTCCCAGCTGTTTGCGCACCTAGCTGTCTTTCAAATTTATTGGCACTTTGTGAGCACTTTGCTATTGCATCCATTTGTTTTTCATCAATGCCTTTGGTGCAGCTTCTTTCAATATCATTGGTTCTTAATCATAGCTTCCTGCTGAATTGGCTCATCATTGGCCAATTCTTTTCCATACAGTGACTCTGCATATTCTGTCTATCTCCTTTTGATATTTCCCATATTTTGTTCATAGCATCCTCCAGTATTACAACCCAAGACTTGAATTCTTTCAGTTTGATAAATGCCTAGTATGTTCTTGTATTTTGATTTTCTAACTCCAGATTTTTGCACATTTCATTACACTATTTGGTCTTCTTGACTCACCCTTTGAAATCTGTTCAGCTCTTTTATTTCATTTGTTCTTATTCGTTTTAGCTAGTCTACATTCATGAGTGGAGTCCTGGTGTGGCTCTGTGGTTTAATGCGCTGACTGCAAAGTCGGTTTGGACCTCAAGGTTGACAGTTCTAGCTCGCCAACCATTCCTTGGAAACCCTATATTGGGTCACTATGGGTCGGAACAAACTAAAGGGCGCTTAACAACAACAACAAACATTCACAAATTCAGCAGATTTCAGAGCCTCTTCTATTTTGGCCTTTGTCCATAGAAGCAAAAAAGAAGAAATCAAAGGACAAATTGCATTGGGCAAAGCTGCTGTAAAAGACCTTTTTAACATGTTAAAAAGCAAATCCCTTTGAGGACGAAAGTGAGCCTTAGCCAAGCCACAGAATTTTCAATTGCCTCATATGCATGTGAAAGCTGGACAGTTAACAAGGAAGACCAAAGAATTGATGCATTTGAATTATGGTGTTGGTGAATAATATTAAATAAACCATGGCCTGCCAGAAGAATGACCAAATGTGTCTTGGATAAAGTATAGCTAGAATTTCTTTAGAAGCGAAGATGAGACTTCCTCTGACTTACGTACTTTGGACATATTGTATGGAGGCACCATTCCCAAGAAGACACTCAATGAGACAAACTGACACGGTGGCTGCTACAACCGTGTCAATATAAATAGTGAGGAAAGTGCAGGACTAGGCAGTGTTTTATTTTCGTTGTTGTTCTGAGTCGGGACCAACTCCCGATCCCTAACAAGAATAACTTGCCAACTTTCTAAGAGGGTAGGAAGTCTTTCGGAAACTCTTTTTCCAAGCCCAAAGTGGCACGCCTCTTTTCAAACCCACAAATGAACCGAACACGCCACAAAGAAAAATGCCCTCTGATTGGACAAATTCAGACTGTGGTTTTAAACTTCCTGAAGCCGCATAGGCAGAATGCTCTAGGATTGGTTATAAACGCTCCCTTTCCTACCAATCATACAGATATCCCGGGGAATGTGGGTGTTTCATTCCATGTGAGACCAGCGTGCTCTGTGATTGGCTTTCTTTGGATACATATTAGCGGTCCAGCCTATGGGCGCAGAAACGCGTTGGGGCGGCCTGGCACCCTGGCTGTCAGTGTGTGTTTTTCTACGTGCCCCAGTACAGCGCTCTGTCCGCGCCATGGCCGCCCCGCCGCAGCTTCAGGCATTGCTCCTGGCTGTCAACACATTGCTGCGCAAGCGCCGCTACCACGCTGTGTTGGCCATGCTCAAGGGCTTCCGGAATGGGGTCGTGTGAGTGGGGCCGGCTTGGGGTTGAGGGACGGGTCTGAATCAGGTCAAAGGCTCGGATTCGAGGCCCAACGCTACCTCGCTATGTTCCTCTCAACAGCCCTTGTTTGTCTGTAATTCCTTGTCCATTGTTCACTCAATGGGCGCTGGAGTTTGGATTCTGAGTGCCTTTCCAGGACTGAGCCAGGGTCCCACTATGCTGATCGTCTGTGCTTTGCTTCCTTGCCCTCTTGCTTTGGCTGCCCTGCCAGTTCCTTTTTCCCTCTGCTTGGACCCAATTTTCCCCCACCTCCTTGCGTGTGCCATTGTGTTTCTCTGGCCTCAGTGGCCCCATCCGCACAATAGGAAGCTGGTCTCTGGCCTCTAGCCTGCAGATGGGCGTCTCCTAATCGTGCTCCTCCCATTTTTCAACCCCGTTGGACTCACGTTCAGTTTCTCATTCCTAGGCTAAGTGCCCCTCTAGCACAGGGCACTTCTGGATCCAAAGTCTAAGGAATGACACTGAATGTAAAAGACAAAAACAAAATTGTGTGATGTTAATTGATTTAGTAAGTTGATCCCGAGTTAGCCATCAGTTCTGGAGAAGATCTTGGAGGTCATTTCACCTGACCCAATGGCAGGAATTTCGAAAAGAGCATTTTTTGGCATGTGGACACTTGGCTGGTGTTTGGAGGGAATTCACTTCTTTGAAACCTCAGGCGCAACAGCTTTCATTTATGAAGGATCTATTGTGTGGCAATCACTAGAGACGCAGCGAAGAATGGAGTTGGCATCTTAGTGGCAGCATATCCTGGTGGAGAAGATATAGATTCTGGAAGCAAACTGTGTTAGCTTGAATCCTGGTGCCCACACCTACCGGTGTGATCTGGGGCAGTCACATAACTTCTCAGAACCCCAATTTCTATAAGATGGAGATGATAATAAAACTCACACTATCAAATGGTTGGGCCAATAGGTATGAAAAGTTTAGTGCAGCACCTGGTATATAATTGTTGTTAGTTGTTAGCTCCTACTCATGGTGACCTTGTGCATAACAGGACAAAATGTTACCCAGTCCTGCGGTTAATAAGTTTGAGACCATGGTTGCAGCTGTTGTGTCAAGCTGTTGTTCTTTTTTGTTGTATTCACATGAGTGTCTGCTTTTTCGGGCCTCTTCTAAGTGTCATCTCCTCAGTGAGGTCATCCCCAAGCCTCCCCCCATCCTGTTTTGTTCTCTCCATTTACTATCTCTCCATTTAGGCTGTGAGCTGCATGAGGACTGAACTTTTTATCTGTTTTGTTCCTTGGTATATTCCTGCCACCCACTACATAGTAAACCCTCAATAGATATTTACTGAATGAATGAACAAGGGTACAAGGTAGATCTTTCCACTGTCCCCACTTTCCAGAAGAGAAGACTGAGACTCAAAGAGGTTAAGCTCATTGTCCTTCATCACCTTGGTCAGGGTCCAAGCCAGGATACAAACCCAGCTATGTCTGAGCCCAGTGCCAGGCCCTTGACTTCCATGGACACCCAGAGTCATGACTCGTGCTGCACTTTGCCAGGTCATATCAGACACACTTTGGTATGACCATTGTGGGATGGGTCCTGGGATAACATCAGTGACCCCTTTGCCAACATATTCTCAGGACAGAGCAAGAGTAAGTGAGAGCCACACAAGCACTAGTGCCAGTGAGCATTACCAATGCTGACTATGCCTCCACCCCAAGTCTCCTTGTGCCCTCAAGAGACTTCAGTCAGGGCAGGCACTGGCTGAGGTCAGGCCACAGGTTCAACTCCCAAATTGTCTTATGCATAAGCTGCATGACCCTTAATTGTGATTTCTCCTTTGTAAAATGAAGAAAATAAATGCTGCTCTATAGGTGTGCTCTGAGGCCATGACACAGTACTGGTTTTTGATAATAACTTCACTTGTGGGTACTTCAAGGAAGAGATTGATCATGAAATGCCTATGGTGGTGTGGTGTCAGGTGATCAGGGAAAGATGCCCCCTGTGATGATGGTGCTATTTTGAAGGCTGAATTGGGATTTGCCAGAGGGCAAAAGTCATCTCAGGACAACTGAGATATTGGGGGTAAGGGTGTGTTTTTTAATTTAACTCACTTTGATGTTCCATCCTAAATATTTCAATATGCACTTGTAAAAAACATAAAAATGTTTTTGTATCTGGCCAAATTATCTGATGACATTTAATAAATTAATAATAGTCCTGGTGTGGCACTATAAGATAAATACTTGACAACCATAAGGTCGGCTGTTCAAACCCACCAGCTGCTCCTTGGAAACCCTATACAGGGTCATTATGAGTCAGAACTAACTCGACAGTACTTAACATTGTCTAGAGTCCAGGTGTGGCATTGTGGGATAATACACTGAACCACAAGGTCAGTTTGAACTGCAAGGTTGGCAGTTCAAGCTCACCAGCCGTTCTTGGAAACCCTATTACAGATTCGCTATGAGTTGAACCGACTTGAGCACTAACAACAAGAAGTCAGTGGTCAAATTCTCTCTATTTTCCCTAAAATGACCCCTGCAGCTCTTGAACCCGGATCAGGATTCCCCCCTGACATCACATGCACCTACCTCCATGTCCTTTAAGTACTTTTTAACCCAGGCACCTCTTTTAATCAGGACACAGAGTAATCCTGTGGATGGGAGAGGTGCCATTACTGAAGGGTGCTTGGCAAATATGGGGATCTGAAGGTGCTGTCCAGCTTGTGTCTAGGGTATAAGGAAAAACCATTATAGCCCTGGTGAACTGAAGGGAGACTAAAGGCCTGTTGTTGTTGTTAGGTAACATCGAGTTGGTACTGACTCATAGCGACCTTATGTACAGCAGAAGGACACACTGCCCGATCCTGGGCTAACCTCACTACTGTTGCCATGCTAGAGCCCATCGATGCTGCCACTTTGTTAATAGATGTTTACAGCTGTTTCTCTTCATTTTGAGTTGTGCCCCATCAGCAAATGAAGGTCCCAAGGGCTTTACTCCCTTAGGCTTTACTCCATTCCCATCATCACTGTCAACTCTACTTTGAGGAGGCAGCTCTTCCTGTAGCGTGCCCCTAATGCTGTCTTCTATTAACTGTGGACTCTATATCTGCATAAAGCTGCTCCTTCCTTTTTTAAAAGTTTTTATTGTGAATTGAGTGATAGTTTACATGGGAGAACATCAGCTTTACACATTTTGACTGCCTTCCACCTGAGGGGCTCATTTTCCGGCACTATATCTGACAGTTTTCTTTGCTATTCATAAGGTTTTCAGTGACTAAATATTCAGAAGTAGTTCGTCACTCCTTCTTCCTAGTCTGTCTTCGTCTGGAACCTGTCCACCATGGGTGACCCTGCTGGTATTTAAAAATAGTGGTGGCATAGCTTTCAGAATCACAGCAACTCAAAAGCTACCGCAGTATGACAAACTGACAGACGTGTGGAAGGCCTGTTAGTTCAGGTAAAAGAGACGTGGCTTTGGAGAAGGGGAAGAGGCCGAGGCAGGTGGAGGACCTGAGCTGTCCTGTCTTCTTTCGATAGGCAGAGGAAAAGATAGATAGTCCCACTTGACCTCTGCAACAGGTATTTGTTGTTGTTGTGAAGTGCCATCGAGTTGGTTCCAACTCATAGCAACCCTGTATAGGGTTTCCAAGGAGCAGCTGGTGAGCTTGTGGTCCAGTGCTTTAATCCCACAGTGCCACACCTGCAACAGATATATCAGCTTCAAATTGTTAACGTTCTTAATGGCTCTAATTTTGTTTTTTAAAAATTAGTTGACACATTCACAAAAAGCACAAATAAGTAAGACAGTAAAAAGCCCATCCCTTCCCTTTGTTCCCCAGTGCTGCTCCCTGGAAGCAGCCCCTCTGTTCAGTCTCTGTGTCTGCATATACAAGCAAATATATATCTTCTTCCTGATACCTGTCAAAAGGAGTCCTGGTGTGGCACTGTGGGCTAAAGCACTGGACTGTAAAGTCAGTTTGAACCACAAGGTCGGCAGTTCAAGCTTACCAGTCACTCCTTGGAAACCCTATACAGGATCACTATATACAACTGATTTGACAGCACTTAACAACAACAACCTATATTAAAAAAATTATATATTGGTTATTGTAGGGTTTGAGAAGGCTCCCCCTTTATACACTTGTTCCTTGCTGCACACACTGGTGTGCCCCTACTCCTGTCATCTAATAACTGCAGACTCTATATCTTCATAGAGCTGCTCCTTCCTTTTTTTAAAGTTTTTATTGCGAATTGAGTGATAGTTTACATGGGAGAACATCAGCGTTACACTCATCCATTTCATTGCAATGATTACAATCCCCTCCATACATCCTCATTCAACAGTATTTGCTTCTGTTTTTTTTTTTTGCGGGGGGTGTACACCAAAACACTCAGGAATATACAATCAATCAAACACCCAAAGGGCATACCCTGCAGGCCTACTCCCCTGGCAGTCCCTCTCCCTCCAAGAGTCTAGAGTTCCCAGCTGCACCACCTCTCCACATCATCATCTCTGCCTCCATCTCTGGTGTCTCCGCTTCTTTGAATAGTGTCCCACACTCTGCTCCCGCTCTTCTTCCTTAATGGTCCCAGGGTCTTCCGCTCCTGGACTGCAAGATCAATCACTCCCCTCTTTTTGCTACAAAACGTCTATCTTTACAGCTGCAACAATTGCAGTCAGTCATGAGAACAGTTACTCACTACTGAACCATAAGTGTCTTATCCCCATCTCTTTTCACCAGCCCCGTCTAGACAGGATGAAAACCTCTTAGTGGAGATTCTACTTTCCCCCACACCTCTGAAACTAAACTGCTTCTTGAAAACTTGTAAGCCAGTTACTTGGTGCCTTTATAGCCCACCCATTTTAGTTAGCCAGTGTGTAAGTTGCCCATCCCTATCTACCCTGTTTACAGATAGGATGGGAATGATCCTTGCTGTGTAGATTCCTTCCCTCTTAGTTGGTATTTTAAGTTACTACATCCATAAATATAGGTCAAGTTCATCAAATT